CGCATTTTGTAATTCCCAGTCACGAATATTGCTAACTCAATATGTTACACAGGTAACATATGTTTACATATGATGTTCGATAAAAAAATATATATGTCTATATAAATATACATATAAATGAATCAATAAATGCAAATGAAATAAAAAATATGATAAAAATGATATTTGTAAAAAGTAATATATTTCGAACGCGAAAGGTCTCTCGCTCTTCTTGATTTACAAATATCCGGACATAATATCCGCGCTCTGTCGTCAAGCGCCGTTCGATAGAGGCATATTTACGATATCTATCATACTTGGCATACGCTAGCGATTATATTGCGCACGCATGATTTAGCAGCAGCGGCATACGGACGTTTGCACATACATCTTGCAGCATTGTGTAGGCAATGTAGCCGCGTCGCGTCGTCCCTCGAATCAAACCAGAAGCTACATTGTACTTAGAGTACCATACATACACAACAGAAATTCACACACGGCTTGTATGTATGCGTGCGGCGCGCAGCAGAATCACAGTCTGCATACATCAGCCTGGGTGCACATGTATACCACACGAGCGATCCATTCGCTCCTTTGTACGAAGGTGGCTCACAAAAGGCGCGAACACTACCAGGATTATACTTTAGGAGGCACTCAACTCTTCACAACCAGTTTATTTTATCCCGATTATTTTTTTTCGGATATTGTATAAAGGAATAAAATTCGATTCAATGATTTTTTGCGCGCAAACACGGATAATGAAATAATTCTCTCATTAATTTTGAACAAAAAGGTTATTTTCACGAAACGTTAGTTTTATATAAATACGAAAATTACGTGAAAAAAATCTGTTATTAAAATACAATGTCGTAAAGTGTGTGTATGTGTGCGAAATAGTGTTTATATATTGTAACTGTAATAAAATATGAAATGTTTGTTTGATTCTCTTCTTGTGCTATATATTTATCCATGCGTAATGTCATTAACCACCGTCATTTAATTTTGCAAATCAACAACGCGATTTCCCTCCGTTTCTTTCATATATCAACATTCATATATGTTTTATTTATACATCATATAATGTTTTAGAGATTCTGTATTTCATATGAACACGCACTCGGGTAATAAAAACTTGAGGGATATTTTGGGAAAGTGTAATTTTATCTGATTGTGCGATCTATATCCGGATAATCAGATCAATCTCTATAAATTCGATACCTTTTCAACCAAACATGTATGCCAGTCGTTCTTAAAAATCTTAATTTGTTCCAAGCGAATATCGCCTTAGTATTCAATTAAAATTAATAACAAAAAATAAGAAAAAAATATAAGCGCCACAATAAATATTTTAGTTCAAAAGTTTAATCACATTAAAAAAAAAAAAATAAAAAAATAAATTCTACTAATGATATTAACCGATAAAAGTAAAATTTTGAACTTTTTAACTAACAGTTATGTGTCACGCACGAGTATCTAAACAATCAACAAAACAAAATTTAGTCGCATATTCTATGAAATATCGCGCAACACCGATTTTATTACGTGCCCGGTGCATCGACAAGTCAAGTGCAGCACTATATATATCTATATATTTCCCAGCAGTGTATGAAAATAATGTCGGTTTTTCCCACGCGTCCAGTTTTTCGTAAAGAGTACACACGACCGAGCCGGATATTGGAATTTTCAATGGTCGTCCTGCGCCATAGGGGGTGGAACGACATGATGCATCGAGATGCAACGAGCCGCGTGATTCATCGCGGGATGCAGCGCGATGCAAGTTCGTCATGCATGCGTCGTTGCGCATTCAACAACGGATTCCACTTCTTTCAGTGTTATTCTTGCCCGCGTTATGTTTTATTAATCTGTTCACTATATGCAGATGAAACGTCTAATTTTGCCGTCCGCCAATCTCTCTTTTTTTTCATGTGCGATTCTCTACTGCAAAATGCGAGATTTTGTATACATATTATACATATACATACTACATCTATGTGAGCTTCTTTTTATTTTAATTTTTACAGTGTGCAATTATAAACAGAGGTAAAATCGTTATAAACAATTATAAATGCATTTATTTATTTATTTATCTTGAATAAGATTCAAGATAAATCAATGATTTTTTTATAAGTTATTTTTATACCAAACGCTAAGTATATATATCTTTTATTTCTACAAATAAAATTATTCTCACTACAAAATTATCTATCAATCGAAATTATATTTATAATTTTCTATATTAAAAGTCTAATTTATTAAAAGGACACTAAGTAGTTCACATAGGTGATCAGTAAAAAATTATATATATAATATAAAATTATATAGAAATATATAAAATTATACATATAATCGCAAAATTATATATAAACTATGTTCATACATAATTAGATAAAAGTGCTTTTTATATATAACTATATATGAACCCTTATAATTTATATATAAATTTATATAATTATGTATAAAAATAGACATATTTCACATAAAATTTTACAATTATATGTATAATTATATAATTATTTATAAATAATTATATATGTATAACACATTTTTTACCAAGTGTGTAGTTCTGTACATACTGTATTTGCTTTCAAGACATTTCCATGACAAGATTCTATGTAATTTATGCATTATATAAATGAGAAATTTTGTTTATATAAAATATACATATAAAGCTAAAATATAGTACTAATATAAAAGTATATAAAAAATTTATTTACTGTTCTTTTAAGACTTCATATGTTTAATGGAATATAAGCATATAAAAGAGTTATTAAAAAAATCAAGACTGTTCTCGTAACTTCGACATAAGCCATCGATATAAAATATTTACTCTATTTCATAACGTTCTTCAAAATATTGAAAGCTTATGCATGGAAACTGTTTTAAATTACAAAAAAATTACTTTACCTAAGAAAAATGTTTGGTATAAAAAGCAATATTAGATTAAGTATATTTTCATTAATTTCACATAAATGATTTTTATAAGTAATTTCGATTTATTAATCATGTTGTAAGAGATGAGAGGAAAAAAGTTAGTAATTGCATTTCTATATTTTTAAAGAACGAAGAATGAATGCAATTTTCTATTTTCGTATTAAATGACAGATTGAGTGAGAAAAGCTTGAAAAAATGCCGGTTAAAAAATTGATAAGCGGAAATAAAATTTCGTTTATTAAAGTGCTTCCATAAACAGAGCTATAACAAAAATATTTTAACACATATCGTTGGTCATTTCACATATGAAGTCCACTTAGCAAGCACTTGCGTTAAACTAAAATTAAGTACGAAATATGCACATTATGTATGCATATGTGCAAATTGAAAAGTCCGCACACAAATTGAACTGCGCTTTATTGTTCGCTCATGATACCCGGCCGAAAGATAAGCTAAAAATAAAAGCGCCATGAAATTTTACTACATTCAATGTAATGCACTTTTCATTGGATCTTTTATTTGCTTCCTCCCCTACGTCCATTCCATCGCGTTTCATGTAAATCATTTTTTATTATGTCGCTATATTTTCTCTGTTTTATGTCCTTGGAAAAATATAATATTATTATTAATATTGAATACTCTAATATTGCACATAAACGCACATACACTAAAAAGTACTAAATTACTGCTATTATTTATTTTCTATTCTATTCTATTATTATAATTGCTATATATTTTATAACACACTTGGTATTATTTTTAAGCACACAGCAAGTTATAATTACGCTAATATTGTGTTAAATTTATTTCTTGTGCATAACAACAATTATATTTTAAATAACTATATTTTATTTGAAAATAACACCGTATGATGTAGGATGTGTGCGTAAATAATATTATTATTATCTCCATCATATACCATGTATAATGTAATACTGCGAAAGTTTTAACATTTTATAGGAGAATTTAATTACATAATTTAATTATATATTATCTGATCGCAATTTTAAATAAAGTTAATTACTCTTGATTAACATAAAAAATAATGCGCGTATATATTCTTTATCATGTTTCAAAAGCCGCATGTAACATCTCGTAGACTTACGAGTACTTTAAATATGGACGAAATCATAAAGTAGCGCAATTATACATAGAATATTAAATCCTCCTCTACAGATATCGTTGTAGCGAGCAGGTTATATTTAGATTTAAGTAATCTTCGGTCTCTTCCTTCAAGTATATAGCGCACAATTTCGTGTCTATGTTAAATATTTCAATAAAATCCACGCGTCACATGCAAGACATCGATTTAATCTTTTATGTCATCCGACATAATGAAAAATTAATTATCGCGCTGTCATCCCGAGCATTATACGTATATTGCATGCATGTCACGATTTAATTCTCTATAACATATTTTTGCAAATGCGACGTGACGATGTTGTGACGTTAAATCAAAAACATATATAATAAAATGGAATCACGACAAAAATCACGAAGAAAACACTGCGGTCGGCTCGATGGCATTTAATCACTTGTGTATGTGTGCCGCAATACATTTTATCCCGCTATCAAATTAATATTAATTTCGTGTAATTCCTCTTTACTCTTTGCATTAAAACAATATGTGTTAATATAAGATTTTTCAACTAATTGAATATCATGCAAGGGGAAAAGTTGAAATAAAATTATGAAATTTAAATTAATTGTAAATTTAGATCATCAGATTACATTTATACATATAAAATCGTGGAAGTAATATGAAAAAAAAGGGAAATAATATATAGGAACCAGCATACATGTAGATTAAATATGATATTCTATAGGTGGAAGCAGCGTGCGATATAAAATGCAAAAACCTGCATTTACGCCAGAATTTCTGTACAACATACGATTATACTAAATATCCCTCAAATTTAGCATAATGCAAATACGCTATTTGGAGAAATGGGAACACGTGAACAGTTGCGTTTGCAACAACTCGCCGGCATCACCTATTTCAATGTTCTCCCTTTGTTGTTCCACCCACTCCGAACTCCCCCAACACACATAACTTTACTCACGTCCCCGTTTTCTATGCCGTGTTTCAGGAAGATGCGGGCATGGATCGCCGTGCGAGCAGCTCTGCTACGAACTTCACGACGGCATGTACGAGTGCGACTGCAGGGACGGCTACATACTTCATAAAAATGGATACAGCTGCGCCGGTGAGTGTGTTTTTATATACGTGTGTGAGGAGATTCGATCCTTATCCCGCTTTGCAATTCGCATTCATGGCGGGCGACATCTTTGATTTCCCTAATAAAATTTCGCGCCGCGCTGGGACCGAGCCGACAAACTTTTTGACGCTGCGTATTCGTATTGTTTTCGAAGCACCGAAGCTTCCGACAGCCCCGTGCGCCGGTCCGTTGAATATCTAGTTTCATTCTGGAAAGTTATATCACAAGAACGAGTTTTGTTACTCCGAGAGTAACTCCGAGAGCGGGCTGTTTTGTCTCTAATTCTTGGATATTTCTTTGATGATAATAATAATACCGAAATGTATTGGAAAGTTTTACAAATACGTTTAGAGAATTTTTTTACTTTCATATAGTTTATAGGATATATCTCAATTTAAATACTCTACAGTAATTATTATTTTCGACCAAATTCGATAAATTTTCCAATTATTCTCAATTTACAACTTCTTTCTATTATAGTTATATGTGGATTAAATTTTTGGGGAAAAAATTTCCTTCTCTTTTCATTTTTGCACATATCGTTTTGAGACGACGTATTATTCTAAACTTAAATGCAAATCGAATCAATGTTATATGCAATTCTGAGTTGTCAGTTAATCAGAAAAGAAATAATTAAATTGCACTAAATTCTCTTTAATCGATATTTTATATTACTTCTTCGTAATAATGTCTGTAGAAGTAATAACGCGTAATATGTATAATACATAAAAATTTAGAGTTTAACTAGGCTCTGTAATATATAAATATAAATTTAACATATATAAGATAGGCAATAAGAGCCAAATCGCGGATGACATCTTGGCCGTGTCCAAGTAAAAATTTGGTGCCTTGTGCACAGGTATTTAATTCTAACGAAAAAATTTAGTTTCGTTTAGAATAACGCACTGTCATCCGCGATTTGGCTCTTATTGCCTATCTTATATATGTTAAATTTATATTCATAAAAATTTATTTATCGTATATCGTTGAAAAATTGCGCGGTAAAAAGCTCGCGTACTGGTTGTAGATTTATCTCAACAATCTCAAGTTCAAGCTGTTTACAGTGCCGCGCCCGTATTAAAGGTAATATCTCATTTCGCGTGGAATTGCGCGGAATATATCTCGCGTCGGGCTTATGAAATAGAAGGAAAGAAGAGAGGGAAGACATTGCGAAAGAAAAATACGCTAAAATTGTCCATAAATCACGTAGAATTTTGGGGAGCATGATTTATCGTTAGTCTAATCTTATGCAAGAGTTTTTATACTACATCACGAGAGAGAATGAAGTTTTCAATCGTACGTTACTAAGTATATCCGATTTGTATAATCGATATACGTACAATTGGAGCAAAAGTTAAATTGCACATAAATAATCGATGTTTTAACTTTGACAAACATGACAAGCACTGATCATATATTCGTTCTACTTACACTACATCGTATAAAGCTAGCATATCATTTCGTGAAAGATCATAAATAGTTGACAGCTCTGACTTTATTTTCAGAATTCTGATGGAAATAATTAGAGAAGTTTTTAAAAAATCATTTTATCTGAAAACTCATATTTTGGAAAGATGCATTTTCAGAACTATATCAAAATTATTATTAATAAGCAGAATTGTAAAAAATTGAGCGACGTTTTACTTCGATATGTTCAAGTAAGACGTTTACAAATGGTTTTAAATATTTTTTATTTTTAAAAAGCTCTTTTTAAAACTCTTGTAGAACTATAAATCTTTTAAGTTTGAACAATTATGGATAAGAAAAATGTCATAGAATAAAATTATGCTGTGTAAAGTTGACATATCAATTTGTCTTTTGGCATTTTCTTTGATTTAATCGCTAGAACTGTTTATTTAAACTGTCAATAATTCTATAGAACTATTGAAAATAAAGCCAGAACTCTTATTTATTTCCACAAAATGAGACGCTTTACACAACCCACTATAGAAATGTTATAAAAATAAACTTCTCACTCACCGATACGCGCAGTAGCAGAGTTGTTGTATACACAGCCACATTGATCTGAAAACAAAATATACCTATTCGAATTATGTATATAGATATGTGTGTGTATGTTTACAGGGTGTTTTGAAAGTCTGAAAACGATCGAATATCTCATAAACAATGCAGTTTGGAAAAAAATGTTTTTGCATACCTCACAGTTGCCCCACTGTCGCCCGATGCCACCCCGAGCCTCTTCCTCCTCTCTTGGTCCTTCGTAGCACTCACGACTTCGCGCGAAAACAAGAATAATTACGATCGCCCGACACTTTACACGACACTCCTGACGCGCGAAACTTTACACGGCACTCCCGACACGACGCGTGAATCGCACTGCGTATCGCAATGTTATCTGTAACAAATAAAATGCATACATATATTCAGGGTTGTGCTTAGATAATTTTAAAATTAGAAAAAGATGAAATGAAAATATGTAAATTTATCTTAGATAAAATAATTTTGTTTTAAATATATCGAGATAAAAGATAAAATTTCAACACGACGCGTGAATCGCACTGCGTATCGCAATGTTATCTGTAACAAATAAAATGGATACATATATTCAGGGTTGCGCTTAGATAATTTTAAAATTAGAAAAAGATGAAATAAAAATATGTAAATTTATCTTAGATAAAATAATTTTGTTTTAAATATATTGAGATAAAAGATAAAATTTCAACACGACGCGTGAATCGCACTGCGTATCGCAATGTTATCTGTAACAAATAAAATGCTTACATATATTCAGGGTTGTGCTTAGATAATTTTAAAATTAGAAAAAGATGAAATGAAAATATGTAAATTTATCTTAGATAAAATAATTTTGTTTTAAATATATCGAGATAAAAGATAAAATTTCAACACGACGCGTGAATCACACTGCGTATCGCAATGTTATCTGTAACAAATAAAATGCATACATATATTCAGGGTTGTGCTTAGATAATTTTAAAATTAGAAAAAGATGAAATGAAAATATGTAAATTTATCTTAGATAAAATAATTTTGTTTTAAATATATCGAGATAAAAGATAAAATTTCAACACGACGCGTGAATCACACTGCGTATCGCAATGTTATCTGTATAAAACAAATAAAATGTATACATATATTCAGGGTTGTGCTTAGATAATTTTAAAATTAGAAAAAGATGAAATAAAAATATGTAAATTTATCTTAGATAAAATAATTTTGTTTTAAATATATCGAGATAGAAGATAAAATTTATATGGCGATTCATCTATAGATAATTTTCTAGATAATACTTTTTAAGACTGTTTACGTAAAACGCAGTTATAAAAAAATTATTTATATATTTTTATCACTTAATTATACTGCGCTTAAGTGCTCCTAATTAAATATTTTTATGTGCTATGTGATTCTAAATCAAAATTATCTGAAAATTATTCTAGATAATTTAGTAAATATTTTTTTTCATCTAAGATCCAAATATAGATAATATATACTTTTATTATCTATATAAAGATAAGAGGATACCAAAATGTTATCTAGATGGTCATCTATATAATTTTATTTAGATAACACTAAACACTGCATATATTATATTATAGAATAATCTTATTATTTGTGAAAACAGATTAAATTAGGTTATGTCGAGAGTTATGTTGACCTTTGGCAAGAGATCTTGCATCGAATTTCTCGTGAAATATGTGTTTCAAACAATTATGATTACATATGAACGTTGCCATTATGAGATGCGATTGATAAATATTGCAATACAAAGGTTGGAAACGATTATGCTTACTAATTAGTCACAGAGGGACGTAGCTCGAACTGCCTGGTACTCTGCGCCGTTTCGTTATATATGACTGAAGCTATTCGCTATTCTACAAACATCGGCAACTTCATTCCAATAGCGCGCGCAATGCTATTCGTGACTTAATATTAATAATTAATTAAAATTCGTTCAAAATAGATATAATGTAGCTTTACAATAAATATAATTTTCGAAACTAGATCGGCGTCTCATTTCAATATTATAAATATATAAGTTGTCTTTTTATTTTAGCTTAATTAATTTTTGCTTTTAGAAAGCAGCAGAATCTTTTTAGAACTCACGTCGAACTATAAATCTTTTAAATTTAGACAATTGTTGATATGGAAAATACTGCAGGACAAAATAATATACTGCTGAAGTTGATATATTAATTTGTCCTTAGGCATTTTCCTTAGTTTAATCGCTGGAACTATTTGTTTAAACTATTAAAAACTCTACAATTGAAAATAAACATTATTTATGATCTGCCAGTAAATTATATGCTATTTTTACATACTATATCAAAGCACATATAAAAAGTATAATCTGCATTTTGATGCTATTTTCACGTTTTTATTTTTAAATAGAAAAATGAAAATAATTATATATAAAAAATTTGTAATATAAAATATATATGTAATATATAAAATATATAAAAATTAATTATATCTATTGTATATTTACGCCTTTTTTAATCGCGTTAGATGTTTGCGCTTAAAACATTATCAGACCACACTATAAAATACCTTACTCGTATAGCAATTGCTGCAACAAAATTACGCGGTTCCGTTTACCCATTGCAATAGACGTTTTTCTCACGAATAGATGCGACAGGAAATTCGGTGGGAAGTTGGTCGACGATCGCCTCCGTTAATTGCTTTCCGATTGATTGTTCGCGGAATTCTATTATTACAGTCTGTCCTAGATCGGAATGCTTATCTCGGAACACTAGCGACTAAAGTTTTCTTCCGCTATAGTCTCGCATCAACAACTTATTTTCCTTTGAGAAAAGAAAAGAATTCGCATATAATGTATATTATATATGCGCGGTGTATTACATCTCCGCTTATCTATCGACATCACAAATTTATCTGACTTTTAAGGAAATAATTCAGACACAAATAATTGGTAAAAATTTTTGTATAAAAGAACTTCTCTATAAGAGACTTTGCTAGTAATTATCAATGATTAAAGTAAAATACGACAAAGCATTACAGAGAAAAAATTGCATCATTATATAATAATAATAATAATATAATATGTTAATTCTCGACTTATATATTACCCGAAGTGTAATTTGCAACAAACAATAAAAGTTCAACTGACATACAATCGATAAAAAATATTATAAAATTAATAAAGATCGAAATATAGAGAAACTCGTGGTCATTTTCGTTACAGCTGTTGAATAGAATATCGGCAATTGAAAATATTTCATTCTAATATACGTGCGATTAGCGTAAAGTCAGCCATTTTATGATCAATATTGCACACGCGATTATTGGGAATTTAATTCCAATAATGTTACCTTTAATTTCACCACGTGTATACATTTAACAGATATACGCTGCCATTTCAGTCCCTTATTCTGACTTTTTCCTCTGAATTTAATTTCGCGGAAGACTGGCAAAATTTTCACATTTTCGATTTCTATCTCGTTTAAGCTCTCGCACGCTGAATCTGATGGTATACCATCAATGCGAACACTTCCCTTCTCGGCTGCCGCATTTGCCACGAATCCAAATCAATCTGTCTTGCGCTAATTGTGCTATTTCCAATACGGCAATGTCTGCGCGAATCTGATTCTTATATTGATTTTACCGTCGACTCTGATTTTCAATTCAGCGAACTGCGCTCGTAGTAAATCGGATAAGTCGATTTCTTCTTGTTGTCGCTCCCTCTTCTGAATTTCGCTAATTCTGAGAACGATAGAATTTCAACGTCTTTTCCATTTCCATTGGCACGAAGCTTGAGACACTTTTAATCACATCGACTTCTCATTGTCAACCCTGATGCCTAATCTGCCAACTTTTTTCCCTCTGTATGAATTTATTTAGTTTGTTTTCTTGCCGAACGCGAGAATATATTATCAAATTTTTCCCCCTTTTGTTACTAATTCCAGACTCAGAAAGTCTTTGTACTGCGTTAATTCTGCTCCAGATTTTTTTTTAATAAGATCTGCAAGCTTAATTGTTTCAGTGGTTTCGCTGATTCTAATTCTTACAATTAAAGGCAAGTTTTGCTGAAGGTAAAACGGCCAGGAATGTCTTGGATTCACTTCGGCATTTTCGGTGAACACGAATTTCGGTGATTTTGCCACTAACTTAGCCAAGTCGACATCCTAGACAATTTGCTTCGTCGACGATTTCACGAGGATACCTATCTACGATCACTTGAAATTAATTGGACATTTTGTAAGCTGTTATTTAGTTTTTCTACTTAATATTTATTTTGGTCTTTACTTTGATCTTTGCTTTGTTGTTATCAAGCTTTTCCAATTAAATTCGAAGGAAAGAGTCATTTCATTGTACTGTTTATATATAGCATTATCGAGAAATCGAAACGTTAAAGACCGATATGATTTATAAGATAGAGATGCGCAATATTGATCATTTTATTGGGAAATCAGAGCCTCTTTTGATACTCTCCTTGATGAAAAATGAGAAGAATTATTGAATTATAGATCATTAACGAGACAATCGATTTCAGATTCGTATATTATTACAAATATCGTTTATGTAATAACAAATCGTTAGCGACACAAAAGCATCTTGCAAGCTTATCTTCCTGGGCTATTTCATAAATCATGGTGATTTGCCAAGAGCAAGAGATAGTAAAGAGAGTAAGATGACTTATCATATCGAAGTTTTCTTACAGCGATTTATCTAGTAATTCACGAATTTTAGCCATCTTATAATAAAATTAAAATTTGTATATTTTTTATTTACTTTTTTGAAAATAATTTTAATGAGTTAATGAAATTTTTATCTGTAAAATGATATTAACTACAACGTTATTAAGATAATTTTAAATTCAGATATAATTTTCAATTAGATACAATATATTTTTATCATGTAGCTAACTGAAAATTGTACATAATATCATAAATAATATCATAAAAAGTTTATTTATTCATTAAATTTAATTTCAAAAAAAGAAAAGAAAGAAGAAAATTATATTTTTTGTTATTATGATTCATTTATTATTATACCGAGTTGTGCAGATGAGTCAAGTTAATCACACGCGTGAAATTTAGTAATATATTTTTATCTATATTTAATACATCAATATAAAAACTAATATATAATAATAAATTGATTTATAATTTTAATATACAAAACTATAAATAGAGAATATCTCTATTATAATGTAAAGTAAATATATCAATTATATACCATAAATTATTTATAATATTATTTTACATTATTTTATCAATATTACCGTTAGAATAAGTAAAATATTATATTCAGTTAAATAAAAAATTCTTGTGGAAACTCACGCATACTTACTCAAATATCTAATAAAAAAATAATTCTATTTAATTGAGAAGAGTTTAAATTCATTTGTAATTAAAGAAATGAAGTAATTTTAGTTATACGTGTGTAATATGTAAAGCTTTAACAGACCTAAAATCAAATATTCATTAAGCTGTACTACAAGTAATGAAATTAAGATCGATGAGTAATTACTAATTGCTCAACAGATTACCAGTTGAAAGCATTAGAAGGTGAATACCTGTTAACTGATTGATAGCAAGCTTATATGTATGATGAAACGAGAATTCATCTATAAATGAGGAATCACTGCGCAAAGTGATACCAGAAGCTAAAATTAGTTCCTCCATTCATCTAGAATACATCCCTCAATCACGCAAAAATCGTTCGTCGTTTACATGTAATTTCTTTCAAATTGGTAGTAAAATGTTTTTAAACAAACTTT